CAAAGGTACACAGTTTGAATCCACCAGCTGCTCCACGGGAGAAAGATGGGCAGTCTCTTCCTATGCAGTTTACTGCCTCTAAAAACCTGCTGGAGGTTAACTATGAGTCATTTCCGACTTAACAGTATACATTAGCACAAAGCATATGAACCCAATGAAAGGACGAAAGTGCCAGACACATAAATATAAACCCACAATCTGTAGTGAGTAATTAAAAGAATATTTTTTAAAATTTTGTGTATATGATTTTTAGGACTTGTGTATACTCTGCTTTTATTATTTTTGAAAACGCATTTATACCTCTTAAGTCAGTAAAATAGATTTTGAATGAATATTCAAAACAGATAAATATTGTAGATGAATATACTTTTCTTCCTATACCTCTTTCCTGTAGTGATTTGCTGAAAAAATTTATACGTTTTATGTTTGACCCTATTTTTCATTCAAATTTTGTTTCATACAATCATTTCCATTCATTATATTTTATAACATTAATCATCATTCTACTGTGCACCCCATTACCCTGTCTTTTCAGGTCCCCACCAATTCTTTCCCATTTCCTTTATCCCCTCCTTCCACCCACAAAATTGTGCAACCTGACGTTTTGCCCCTACCTATCGTCACTCCTCTGCTCCTACCTCTTCCCCTATTGCATCCCCAGACAGGTTTTACTAATTATCCTTATATTTTTACAATTATGATCCTAAGCAGTATTTGTCGTAATAAGACTTGAGTTAGTTCACGCAACACAATGCTCTCCAGTCTCTCCCACGTTATGTAGTATTTTTCAAAATCATTGCATGCTGGAAAGTATTCCATTGTCTGAATGTACCACAGTTTCTCAATCCATTCAGTTGTGGTTGGACATTTGGTCTATTTGGCATTTCCTTAAAAAAAAAAACAACTGAACATAGAAACTGTGTGGCCCATATGGAGTTCGTGTTTGGGCAGTTTGTCATTTCCTTAAAAAAGGTGAACATAGAATCTCCTTATGACCAGCTGTTCCACTACTTGGAATATACCCCAAAGAAATTAGTACCAAGACACAAATAGAGATTTGTACACCAGTACAAATTCACCATTACAAGAACATGGAAGCAGCACAAAGTAAACCTCTTTTATGGGAAATTGTTGGTTTTTGAAATTGGAGAACTGTAAGCCTATTTATAAGCAAAGAATCAAGGTTAGTAGGAAGTTAGTAAATTGAAGCGTTAAGGAACGAGATGATCTCGGAAGATCAGGAATGACACCAGTACCACAGTGAAAGTATTAACTTTGGAAAGGAATTAAAAAGAGACTGACATGGTGGATTTTATACTTTTGAATATTTTTCCCCCATTTAGATTTTTTTGATTGATTTTAATGAAAGTTTACAGAGACTTTGGATTTCCATTCATTCATTGTTGCACTTTTCTCCCTGCCCACCCATCCCTCCAGTTCACGCTTCTTTTTTTTTTTTCCCAATGGAAAGTCAGTTTATTAAAATAGTTGATTTAGGCTCTTCTTTTTGAAAAGGAAAATAAAAATTATTTCATTGTTAGACAATCCCTCCCCCCATTCCACTCCATTATGCAGCTTTCGTTTAGGACTCCCGTCATGACAATAGTAACTAATCATACATCCCGTTTAAACAGTTTTCTCCCTTATCTGTTTCAATGCAGTATACATTGTTTATCCCGTCTTTCTCAGTCTCCCCCACAACCCCAATGTCAGTCCTGTTTTACAACAGTGGCACTATGCAGTATTTGTCCTTTTGTGACTGAGATATTTCACTCAGCATAATGTCCTCCAGGGTCACCCATTTTGTATAATATTTCATGAGTTATTTGTTTTTCAATGCAGCATAGTATTCCATTATGTGAATATACCACAGCTTCTCTCTCCATTAGTTTGTTGATGGGCACTTGGGTTGTTTCCAGCTCTTTGCTATTGTGAACAAAGCTGCATATATCTGTTTGGGTGGCAGTTACGGTTTCTTCAGGGTATATTCTCAGTAGTGGAATTGCTGGGTCAAATGGTATTTCTATTTCCAACTTGAGAAAGCACCTTATGGCCTTCCATAGTGGTTGGACCAGTTTATACTCCCACCAACAGTGAATAAGGGTTCCAGTCTCTCCATAACCTCACCAGCATTTGATGTTTACTGTTCTGTTAAATTTTGCCATTCTTATTGGCATAAGTGATATCTCATAGTTGTTTTGATTTGCATCTCTCTTAGAGCTAGGGATGCTGAACATTTCTTCATACACTTGCCATCTGAATGTCCTCTTTGAAGTGTCTGTTCATATCCTGTGCCCATTTTTCAATTGAGTTATTTACCTTTATCTTGTTGTGGTATGGGATTTATTATTTAATGACATATTGTGCTCAGTGCTTTCAATATCTCTTTCGATGTCTCTGCTTCCCATGTCTCACATACTATGGGCATGTTGGGAAAGGTGGAGTGTCATAGAAAGAGAAGAAGACCCGTCACTCGTAAGATGGATTGCCAGTGACTGTAACAATCAGCTCAAGTGTGTTAAGAGATAATCAGGATGGCACAGGATAGGGGAGGTTTTAGGTCCTTTGATCACAGGATCGTTCTAACTCAGTTCTCCATAGCACCTGACAGCAACAGCCACACCGTGGATCTGCTGTTGCCACACTGTCCTCCTTTGCCTTCAAACTCTTACTGATATGCTCAAAGTCTATATCACATTTCATCTCTAGCTAAGAACATATATTTAAGACACTTGTAAATGCTACTTAGTAAAAATGATTTATGAAACTATTGGTGTTACTAATATTTCTAAATATTTTATGAATTCTTTTAAAAGCAGAAATCAAAGTCATTTCATCTGTTTTACTTCCGGCCTCCTAGATGTCACAAAGGGCTTTTAGGAATGTTTAACAATTGTTACAGCATCTTTACAGTGTAATTAATTACTTGCAACATGAAAGTTAATTTCGTGCATAAGTTCAATCTGTCTTTCCTCTTATTAATGATAATATTAATTTCTATTTATATTTCAGTATCCATGATTATATATTACCAAAAAGAAAAAATAATGAGGCCCCTATTTCACATTTGTGTTCAAGGTCCATAGCTTAGTACTCTCTTTTAAGTCTTTCTGATACTATTAAGTACGTCTTTGGAGGGATTGTCCATTCAGACAATGCGAACATAAAGTTTGTATCATTCCAATTCCATAATTACCAGATACTTGGTTTATTTTTGTCATAAATAATTAGGTAATAATAGTATTTGGTTTTCATCATTTCATGATTAGGTGGAAGTGAAAGCAGTCCCTGTTTCTCAGAAGAAAACATCTTTACAACAAGAACAAGTCAAGAAAACGCAAAGGATTCCTGGCAGTCCTGCAGTAACAGCTGCATCTTCTAATACGGACATGACTTTTGGTGGACTGGCATCTCCAAAGCTTGATGTGTCATATGAACCAATGATAGTGAAGGAGGCCCGATACATTGCCATAACAATGATGAAGGTAGTTTATTTATCATGAGTGGAAGAGGCGTATATAGCACTGCTCACCAGCAAGCACTTTATTTGTTTAAATGTAGACAGAAAACTACAACACTACAGAGCCATTGCAATTTATTTTTAGGATAATATTGTTTTCCTCCTGAGATGAATTTTAAAGAAGACTAGCAACTATTATTTTTAATGTTAGGTTGTATCTAGTCAACTACAATTCATAGTCACCATACATAAGAATAACAGATCCTTGACCTATCCTTTGCTTACGAACAAGGAAAACTTAACATATCTTGTTCTATCATCACAGTAATCACGAGATTCAAGCCTATTGTTGTAGTCACTATATCCATCCATTTGTGGAGGGTCTTCCTCTTTTTGACTGACCCTCCTTTTCCCAGCATGATTTTTTTTCCCCCTAAGGATTCATTCTTTCTGATAACATAGTGAATGTATGGAGACAAAGTTTTACCTTCCTTACCTTTGGCAACACCCTTGTTGTACCTCCACCAGCAGCTCTGGATCAAGTTAATGCAGGAAGAGAGTGAGATAATCTAAAAATTATTTCACTCCCTACAAAAGTACCTGTTTGCTCACATCTTACCATAACTCTTAAAATATAGGTCCTCTGAGTTCACCCAGACTTCTTTATATTTTAGGGTTTCCTCAGCTGAAAAGCTGGTTCTATCCCTGTCAAGATTTTTAGTTTTTCTTACCAGAACATAAATTCTTAAAAGGAAAACCCTCTCAAATGTGGAATCATCTCCAGTTTTCCTTCTCCTTTAGACTCTTTAGCTCTTCCGTATTGTTGTTTTGTGCCATCAAGTCAGAACCAACTCATAGCTGACCCTCCAGCAGATTTTCAGAAGCAGTAAATCGGTTGGAAGATAGCTGTCCATCTTTGTCCCACAGACCAGCTGATGGGTTCAAATCCTTTGGGCTGTTGGTGCAACTCCTTACCACTAAGCCAACAGAGCTTTCTAGTGTATACATAGCAATATATTTTTTAAATTATTTTATATGGTTTAATAGTTATAAATAGGGGGTTTTTTTACATACCATTTTACCTATTCTTCACTGAAGATTTTTTTTATTCTTTATCTAAGATAGTAGACTGTGCACATTCCATCCAGTCACAAGTGAGCAGAGTTAGTCCAGAATATCGTAGGTCCAGAGCAATAGATCAAAAAAGCCTAGTTTTGAAGGAGGAAAGTGGGCTTCTCAGAGGTGTTCATAGCAGTTGATGTTCATGGCGTTTGATTGTTCATGGTGATGGACATTCAGGAGCATGCAGTCCAATTTGTATCAGTGTCCCCAACCTGTGGCATTCTCTACTCCTGCCGCTGTGGTGTCTTCTCATTACATACTCATGTATTCTCCTCCTGATGGACAATTAAGTTTGTTTCAAGTATGGGCTTTTATGAATTATACTATAGAATACATCCTTGTGCATAAGCAGTGGTTTAACTACAGTGTAGAATTGCTGGATCCTAGAATGTACACAATTTTAACCTTATTAAATATCGCCAAAACTCACACTCCCACCAGCAATATATGAAAGAACCAAGGACCTTTTTCTTACCAATACCAATTTATTACTATATAATGTTATTATTCTGTTATTATTTTAGTTGAAAAAATTTTTACTTCAAGTTAGGTTGAATAACTTTTCAAATGTTTAATTAGTCATCCAGATTTCTTTAGTTTAATGACTTTTATTCACTTTTCTTTGGTTTGCATTGACTTGCCCTTTATATATTACGGGTATTTAACCCCATTTCAGTTAGGTGAATTACAAATCCCTTTCTCTCCAGTGAAGATTGAGCTTCTCATTTTCTTTATACTTCCTGTGTTTGGGACAGATTTTTAATTTTCATGTACTCAAGAGATACTATTCTTTCATTTAAATATGCTATTCTTTCACTTAAATTTTTTATAGTTTAATCTTTAACATATATACAAGTTATTTTTGTAAGATTTGTGTCATAGATAAGTAAGGGAATTGCCTCAAAATTATTTATTCAGTATTCTGTCAGTTCATTAACTAAAAACATTTCTAATTCTTTATAAAATTTTTACTTTTTCTTCAAGGTTTATGAAAATTATTCATTTGAAGAACTGCGTTTTGCATCACCAACTCCTAAGAGGTAAAAATCATTTTCTCAAAGCATAGCCAAAATATGTGTTATCAACTGTTTGCAACAAAATCTTTCCGCATTTCACCGTCACTCTCTGTTAATGTATGTATTTTACAATGTTAAAAATTTTTCCAGGAGGTAGGGAGGAAAAATGTGTAACAATGAATGAATGAATAAAAATTCAACTTTTCTATTAACTTTCATTAAAATCACAGTAAAAGAAATTTCCAGTAGAGATTTCCAGTATTCACAGATCCTAGATATCCTTTTTACAAATGTATGCATTACTAAACAGGAAGATTTCCTTCCTGTTTATGCATATATAAAATGCATTTAGGTGGTGATGGTTGTGTGTCGTCAAGTCAGAACTGACTCATAACTGACCCTTCAACAGGTTTTCAGAGGCTTTAAATCTCATGGGATTAGAATGCCCATATTTTCTCCTCAGGGCAGCTGCTGTATTCAAACTCCATGCCTTTGGGTCAGCAGTGCAGTTTCTTGCCATAAAGCTACCAGAAAGTCAAGTAAAACATTTTTAGTATGTTACCTATAGGTTTGAGAAAAGACACTACTGTCTTACAAAATGTAAGAGTCACTTAAAGTTATTTGATTTGTCTTTGCTAATTTTGTTCTACATTTCCCCCTCTTCTACAAGAAAATTGTAGAGTGGTTTCAGTGTGTGTTGCATTTACCGTGTGTGTGTGTGTGTGTGTGTGTGTGTGTGTGTGTGTTCTTTCATCTTTTGATTTAATACTTATTAGAAGTAATTTCTAAAATAGGTAAATGGTCAAAATTATTAGACTACTTACAGTATGGTAGCAACTATCCTTATGGGAAAATTTTTTAATTGAATCTATATAAAGTATATGTGATACATTCCACTATATCATCACATATTACATGACTTTTACCAGAGTTTTTACATGAGTTTACCAGCTGACTTTGAGCTTGTTCTAACATGTTTCAAATAGAAGGTTGGTGGGTTTTTTTGCACAGTCTATAAAATTTCTGCCAAAATGGTTAGGTTTTAAGAATGTGTATTTGGTAATACATACTAGTATTTGTCTCTAGCTTTATCATAGTTTTAAAATTCCCACTGCAATAGCAGCTTCGACTTAAGACTTTATAAAATAAATATGATTTATAACATGACAAGAGACTTGATGTTCTAATGGCTAAAGAGTTGTGCTGCCAACCCAGAGGCAAGCAGTTCTAATCTACCTGCTGCCCCACAGGAGAATAGTGATCTGTTTCCTCCTATACAGTTGACAGCCTTTTGGAGGGTCAGCTTTGAGTTGGTTCTGCTCAGTAACAGTAATGAATGTGAGTGATAACATATTAAATAAGAACAAGTTTAGCATGTACCAGTAAATAGGCTTTTATACACACTGACCACTTCCAATATGACAGAAATTGTTCAATTAGAAATTATCATTAAGCACCTGCTCTGTGGTGAACACTGTTTACAGACTAAGGTGTTCATTCTTAAGGTATTTACATTTCTATGTAGGAAAGAAACCTTTCAGCAAGTCAGTGGGAAGAAATCATTACTTGATATACATTGATAGGAAGGATCAAATGACCAAAATACTAGATGACAGGGAAGACCAGTTTGGAAAAGTACTGATTGAGTGGCAAGCTTGATGGTGGTAGTTGGTCATTTAAAGAACAGAGTAAATTTTTTCTGGTAGAGAAAACCTGTAGTGAATGTAGCTTGTTGTCTTTTGAAAACAGGAGACTAATAAACAGGAAGGAAAAAGGCCAACGATGAGGGCAAAGAGCTAGACAAGGGCCAAATCTATGTTATTGTGGCTGGTAAGTGCCATCAAGTAGACTAACACTCATAGCAGCTTTTCCAAACAACAAACTGATCAGTCTTGCACCATCATCACAATTTCTACCATGCCCAAACCCATTGTTCAAGTTACTGTGTCAGTCTACCTCAGTTAGGGACATCCTTTCTTTTGCTGACCCTCCACCTTTGCCAGCATAATGTCTTTTTTCCAAAGACTGCCCCTTCCTGAAAACATGCTCAGAGTATGTAAGGGGAAGTTTCACCATTGTTGCCTCTCAGGGAACCCTGGTTACACTTCATCCAAGACAGAAGTTCTTACTCTTTTCAAAGACAATTTATAGTACTCTTCTCCAATACCACAATTAAAAGGCATCGATTCTTCATTTGTTTTCCTTACTCATTGTCCACCTTTCCAGATGTATAGGAAGCAGTTGAAAATACTGTGACTTGGATCAGATGCACCTTAGTCCTTAAACTTATATTTCTCTTTAGCACTTTAAAAAAGGTCCATACTATAGTCTGTGTAAATACTCATCAAATAGACTGAGGAGATGGAATTTCTTTTTATTTGATGGATTATAACCAAGGGAGTAGCTTAATCTGATACAGAATTTTAAAATAATCATTTGGATTTATCACTGGAGTATAAATCATAGAGGAAAGCAAAACAGGGTACAGATGAATTAGAGAGCTATTACACTATTTTAGTGTCTGTTATCTACTAATAAGGAGTTTCACTGCTCACCCAAAGACACTTGGTTTGGAATCCACCAGCAACCTTGTGAAAGAAAGATGGATAGTCTCCTCCCAGACAATGTATAGCTTCTGAAAACCTGTTAGAGGGTTACCTGTGAGTCAGTCTCAGTTCGACAGCACATAATAACCACAACATTAGTTGTCTCAGTTGAGGGTAGGAAGAATTTAACAGTGGAAAGTAAGAGATGTAGCTTGTCATGGTGAGGTGCCATCAAGTCATCTTGATTTATAGCAGTCTACATACGACAAAGAAAATCCTTGCCCAATCTTTTACCATCCTCACAGTCTCCACTGTGCTTAAGCCTATTGTTTCACTCACAGTGTCAGTCCACCTCGTTGAAGGTCTTCCTCTTCTTGGTCAACCCTCTCCTTTTCCAAGCATGATGGCCTCTCCAAAAACCGGCCACTCCTGACAACATGCCCAAAGTCTCACAATCATTGTTTCTAAAAATAGATGTGACATATACTTAGAAGGCAAAGCCATCAGAACTTGCTACTAAAATGATAATAGGAGGTGAAGGAAAGAATCAGTTAAGAATTCTGTATTGCTCTTGGCTCTTACATGATGACTATGATGGGGTTGTTTGATCCAGAAACCTAAAACGGGTGTACGAAAAATGGTTACTGACTCCTGTTAGAGAACATCATGACTTCCCCTAGACTCAGGAAGACTGTGGGATGAATGAGTAGGTGATTTATGTTTGGTTTTGATTGATAGAGGGTTGAATCATGTCTCTGAGAGTTCAAACTCTTCTTTGGATTTATTAAAATTGAGATGTCAAGGTTCCATATAGTTATCTACATGGAAATAAGAAGTGACAATATATTAGTTGAAGACAGAAAGGAGAAATGAACTTTGGAATCGAATGATATTTCAAATTAGGATTTGTGTAAATGATCATCTAGGGGGAAAATTAGATAATGATAGAGAAAGAGGTAGAGATAGGTGGATATCCAAATCAAATCCTGGGTCATTATTTAAGTTAAAAAGAAGTTAGAAGAAATAGAGTCAACAATGAGAAGAGAGAAAATTCAGAAACAAAAGGAGTAGAATTTCAAGAAAGTAGTTGTAAGCTATCATGTGCACTGTAATGAAAGAAGTTGTAGGTCAAAAAAAAAAAAGCCTTCATAAATTGTAGAAGAGAATTGCAAATTAAAAAAGGAAAAGGGTGATTGTAGACAATTCTTCAGCTAAATTTTGGTATGACTGGTTAAAGAGATATCTTATTGGAGAGATCATTAAAATCAAGATGTGTTATTGTTGCATGCTATATTGAGATCTGACCCGTCCAGTGCATTTTCAGAGGCTGTTAATTGCATGAGAGGTTGCCCAGCTCTTTCCTGCAGAGCAGCTGGCAGATTCGAACCAAGTGCCTTCAGGCTGGCAGTGCAACTTCTTACTATTAGGCCACCAGAGCTCCTTTACTATCAAGAGGAGTTCATTAAAGTGGGAGACTCTAAAGTCTTTTGCTCATAGAAATGATTGAGCAAACTGAGAAAAACTGATTCATGAGAAAGAACATGAACATCTTAGAAGGAATGAGACACAACATAAATGGAGAGGTTGGCTTATATTGTAGTAAAAGAGGAAAGTAGGTTTATAAATGTAATTGTGGCTTTGAGGGTTTTTATAATATCTGACTCCTGCATTCTCACTGAAGAAAGATAGGAGCTCGTGATCAGTTGGAATTGAGGATGAGGGAGTGATGAAATATTGAGGGAAGGAAGAAGAAATGAAATTGGATCATTCTAGAAAGTAGAAAAACATACAAAAACAGTTAAGATTGCTAGGCAGTGTTAACCATACACACAGAAAGTAAATGTTTATCAAAATATTATAAAATATTATCTCTCTCTTTCAGACCAAGTGAAAATATGCTGATTCGTGTCAATAATGATGGCACTTACTGTGCAAATTGGACTCCAGGAGCAATTGGACTCTACACTATTCACGTTACCATTGATGGCATTGAAATAGGTATTTTTTTTTTTAAGTATTATCATGATGTCAGCTCCTGAACTCCTTACCTGAATTCCCTAAAGCACCTCTTTTGTGTGCTACTGTCTGACACTTTGCATGTTAGTCACCACTTTGGATATATCTACTTTCTCTCCTGGCCATGGAGCAGGCACCTTTTCCTCCCTTTCCAAATCTTCCAGTCTAGCTCAGTGTCACACTTGGGCTGCTCAGTGAATACTTTTAAAATAATGACTTTTCTTTACCTGCTACTTACTGGAGATTAAGCATGGTAGAGATCATGAGGCTGATGCAGGATAGGGCGAGGTTTTCATCTGCTTTTCACAGGGGCCCTGTGGTTATAGTTGACTGGACAGCACCTAACAGTAACAACTGTGAAAAACATACTGCTTTTACCACTAGCATTACTCTGTTTCTTTCCTTTATTTTTTAAACTGTCTGAATAACTGGATAACAATAGAAAGAAAACTATATATAATTGTATATGAATATATATTTCTTAAGACATTAATCTTGCAAATGTTCCTCCAGAAAAACTAGGATAGCTTTTAAAGCTTAGTGTAATGTATTCCCACTGTAATTATTCACACAGTGACATCCAGAAACTAAAGAATATTGACTATCTCAGTTTAATCCTTATAGTGGAACACCTTGTTCCATATTAGGGTTAATGGAAGAAGGTGACATGGTAGAATTAAGAAATAATACTTAAAAAAAAAAAAAAAGAAATAATACTGATTTTTTTATAAAAAAGAAATATAGATATTCTATCAAAATGTCCTTTGGGTACTAAGCTTTAATAGTATGTTTTGACAATAATGATAAAGAAATATTTTATATAACAATATCAAGTATACATTAATACTATGTATAGAAATTAAATTCTATTAAAAGTGTAGGAAAAAAGATGGAAAGAATAAGCAGAATAACTATAACAAAAAAAATTGACAGATGAAATTTCAGCATTTCAAGAGACAGCATATGAGACAGCTACTGGTGCTGAAGGAAGGAGTACAACTGCGCTAAAAGCACTGGTGAAAATTTAGCTCCAGAAATAACAGACTACCTATTGAAGTGTCTCAGCAAATGGATGCAACATTGTCAATAGGCTACCTGAGTAACCAGCCAAAAGATGTCTGTAATGGTGCCTGTTCCAAAGAAAGGCACTTGACCCAAATGTCGAAATTATCACTGCCTTACTATCACATGTTAGCAAAATTTTGCTGAAGATTATTTAAAAATTACTATATCCGATTGGCACAGGATAGAGCACGGTTTAGGGCTGTTGTACATAGGGTCGCGATGAGTCGCAAACGACTCGACGGCACATAACAACAACAACATATCCATGGATAGACAAGAAATGCTGGTATTTCCAGGCAAACTCGGAAGATCACATAGAGTGACTTACATCATTGCTGATGTCAGGTGGATCCTAGCCACAGCAAAAATACACAGAGATTTACCTGTGTTACTGACTACAGGAAGGCCTTTGACTGTGAAAATATAACAAATACTGATAACGTCATGAAGAACGGGAATGTGAGAACACTTGATTGTACTCTTGTAGAATCTCTACATGAATCAAGAGGCAGATGCTCAGACAAGACATACTGCCTGATTTAAAATTGGAGTAGGTGTGTGCCAGGGTTCTATGCTTTCTCCAGACTTAATGCACTTGTATGGTGACATATATTTTGTGAAGTTGATCTGTATGAACAAAGGATCATCAAAACTAGAGAAAAACTCATCCACAACCTATGATATGTAGATGACAAAACCGTCATTGCCCAAAATGGAGAAAACGTGAAGAATTTAACTGAAGAAAGTAAAATACAATGCAATCAATATGAATTACACTTGAACAAAAAGAAAATAAAGTCTTCACACATGAAACAGTAAGGAGCATCGTGATTTTATGGACCCCAAAAAATCAAACTTGTCAAGTACTTGGTTTTCTTTGGATCAGTAATCAATGTCTATAGACACAACAGTCAGTAAATTAAATGGCATATTGCTGGCTGGAAAACAAAATAAACAAACCTTCTTTAAAGTTCTAAAAAGCAAAGATACCACTTTTGCAGACTAAGATGAATCTGACCTAAGCCATGATGTTTTCAATTACTTCATGTGCTGGATGATGAAAAAGGTACAGAAAAATGATTAATGTATTTGAATTGTATTATTCTTTAAAAAATATTGAATATACCATGAACTGCCGGAAGAGCAAACTTGTCAATCTTAAAATAAATAAAACCAGAATGTTCCATAGAAACAAGGGTGTGCACCATTGTGTCGTGTACTATCAAGGTGGAATCAACTCATAGCTGACCTGCCAGGGGATGTCAGTAACTCGCATGAGAGTTGATTGTCAATCTTTCTTTTGCAAGTGATGGATTCAAACCACATACCTTTGGGCTCACAGAAACAAGGGTAGTGAAACTTTATTGTGCTTGCTTTGGACGCTCTGATGGACATACTATTAGAAAGGGCCGTTGTCTAGAAAACAGCATACTTGGTAAAAAAAAATACGCCAATGAAACAAACTCTCTTACTGCTGTCTAGTTGGAAATCAGCCATAGCTGACCCTCTAGCATGTTTTGAGATGCCATAAATGACCCGTTATCCATTAGAGCACCTAATAAATTCAAATTGCCAAAGAGGGGACACCTTTGCATTAGCAGCACAACTCAGCCACAGACTATAACAGCAGGGCTCTCTATGAAAACAAAGTGACCTTTAATGAGGAGAATTGACGAAATAGTCACAACAGTGGCCTCAAATATTAACCAAGATCATGGAGATGATGTAGAGAAATTGAGGTTGTTGTGTGCCATAGAGTTGGAACTGACTTCATAGTTGACCCTCCAGTGGGTTTTCAGAGACAGTAAATCACACGGAAGGAGATTGCCCATCTTCCTCCCACAGAGCAGCCGGAGGATTCTAACTGCATGCCTTTGGGATTACAGAACTATTTCTTACCACTAGAAGTAGGCAGCATATTATTTTTTTATACATAGGGTCATTATGAGTCATTGTCTACTCATTAGCAATAACAGTATAAAATCAGAAACATCAAATTCATCTGTATCATTCCACTCACCATTCTCAGCAGCCTTCTCTCCTTCACATCAGCATATCCAAAAAGCTTTTAGGAACCCAGGTAGCATAGTGGCTTAAATGTTGAAACCCTAGTTACAAAGTTCAGGGCTTGAACCCCCTAATCATTCCACAGGAGAAGCCACCTGCTCCCAGAGGTGTATAACCTCTGAGGAAAGGTTGATGCACAAATAGAAACAGATTGACAGGGAGTTGAGAGAGAAGAGCAGAGATTAGCAGATGAATGTGGTAAGGTGACGGAAGAGAGGGTACAGGGAATATTTGATAAAACATTGTAATAAACAGCATTATCCCACTGTAAATAATGTTATAAAGTAAAATGTATAGGAATGATTGAATGAAAACCATTTTTTTTAAAAAATACATTTACCCCCAAGGAAAATCTAAAAGACACTTTCCTGTTCTGTAGAATCAGATAAAACTTTTGCTTTGGCAAGCATTTGTTGGTTATATGCAAGACATTATTTAGGTAAAATCCTAATAAAAACCTGCTGAAGGGTCAGCTGTGAGTTGGCTCCTACTCTGATAGAGTTCCTATGAGTCAGAATTGACTTGACAGCAACACATTTGGGATTTTCTATTAACGTTTGTTCACACTGTGTATCTAGTGAGCATAGGTGGTAATCTGTAGAGAGTTTCACCACTAAACCAGAAGCTATACTTCTTTAATCCATGACAGCTCTGAGGAAAAAATATATGCAAACGTTTCTCATATAATTTACAGCATTGGAAACTCATTAAAGGTCAGCTATGAGTCAGAACTAGCTCAGTGGAAGTGAATTTTTAGTTTAATATATGTCTAGCATTTTTTTTTTGCTCTTTTCAGTTTATTGCATGAAAGTGTTACACTAGTCCAAGTTAAAAGTGGACCCCAAATGGTTACATTACACAAGCTGTGAAGTTTTACACTTGTGACAAGGGACAGAAGGGAAATTTTCTACTCATTGCAAGGAAATCCTCACTGAAGCTTCAGTGAGCCACAAGCACCTAAAACCCATGAACCTTCAGCTGGTCGTCCTTAACCAGTCCAATCTCTACAAGGAACTGGCATATGTTCTTGCGCTGGTCATCCTGTAGCTGAATTACTTCTCCATATTCTGGATGCTCAATTACAGTACCATTGCAGGCAAACTTCTTCTTAAACGCCTTCACTAGTTTCTTTTTATCGTAATCATCAGCAATCCCTTGGACAGTTGTAAGGGTCTTCCTGCCGTTTCTCTGTTGAATTCTGGAAGCAGGTCATCACCCGTACTTGCATCAGCAAAGGGGTCGAAAGAGTGGAGGTTCTGGATAGCGGACATAACTATCCGATTCCTTTTCCTCGGTGGAAACGACCTGCGGAAGGTGGTGGCGCGAGAAGGCGATCGGGGGAGCGGAGCGTCGGGAAGTGAAGGGGCTCAAAGGGGAGGCAGCTGAGTCGTCGGCGGTGGTTCAGTGATTGCGGCCTAAGTCTGGCATTATTATGGGAATAAGAAACCCAGAACATTTAATTGTACTTATTCAAAACCTGTACATAGAATAGAAAGCAGGTGTTTGAGTAGAGCAGAGGAATACTGCATGGTTTAAAATCTGAAAAAAATGTGCATCAGAGTTGTATTCTTTCTCCATAAGTACTCAGTCTGCATACTGAATAAACAATTAAGAGGCTGAACTATATGAAGAAGAATGTGGTGGCATTGGAGTTGGAGGAAAATTCGTCAACATCCTGCGTAATATTGATGACACAATATTCCATGCAGAAAGTGAAGATGTGAAAAAGACTTACTGAAGAAGATCAAAAATATGGATTACATCTCAACATCACAAAAACAGAAATCCTAACCCCTGGCCTAGTAGTCAACGTAATGATAGATAGAGAAAAGATTAAAGTTGTCAATGAATTCATTTTACTTAAATCCATAATCAGCACTCATGATGACAGCATTCAGTAAAACAAAAGACATGCTGCATTGGAAAGATCTTGTATTCAGGACCTCTTTAAAGTACCAGATAACAAAGATGTCAATTTAAAGACTAAGGTGCACCTGATCCATATCATGGTATTTTCAGTTGCTTCAGATGCAGATGCATCTGAAAGTTGATCACTGAATAAGAAAGACTGAAGAATAATCGATGCTTTTGGATTGTGGTGTTGGAGATGAGTGTGGACTGTCAAAAGAACATACAAGTCTGTCTTAGAGAAAGTGCAGCAAGGATGCTCGCTAGGGGCAAGAATAGTGAAACTTCATCTTTTATGCTTTAAACATGTTGTCAAGTGGGAGCAGTTCTTGGAAAAAGACATCATGCTGGAAATCATAGAGGATCAGTGAGAGGAAGATCCTTAACAAGATGGACTGCAGCAGTGGACTTGAGCATGGTGGAAATGACAAGGATGGTGCACGATAGAGCAGGGTTCTCGTGTGCTTTTCATAGCACTGCTGTGAGATGTAGTTGGCTTGAAGGCACCAAACAACAGTAGCATTATTACCTGGGTAACTTGTATCTTGTGAATTATTTCAAGTTTATTTCTTAAAACAATGCAAAAAACAAATTAATGTCCTAATGTTATAGATAAAGAATTTGAGATATTGAGAGTCACTTGGTGGCAACTTGTATAAGTGACCTCAACAGTCTTTAACCAACATTCCATTTTGCCTGTCAATCATGGAGATGATTTTTATAAATGAGTTGACACTATCAAAAACATTTACAATTTCAGCATTTCCTTTATCCTTTTTTAATTTGTATTTTAATTTTACATGGTCTAGTCAAAGAAGAGGAGCCATTCCTTGTACATCTTAGATATCCCTTTGAAATATTTCCTTTTTAGTCTATTAATTTTCAATCACTATCTAAAGGACAGAATTAAGACATTCATTTTAATTGCTTAAAATAGCCTATGAATGTTTATAAGATAATGATAAATTAAGACCCTCTTTCTTCTTTTCTCAAATGCTGTATAGTTCTCTTCCTTTTCTTACAGATGCTGGCCTAGAAGTAAAAGTAAAAGACCCACCAAAAGGCATGATACCACCTGGAACTCAGCTGGTCAAACCAAAGACTGAGCCTCAACCAAATAAGGTTAGGGTGGAATTAATTCAGAACTTAAATAATTTTTTAAAAATTTATGAGGAAAGTGCAGGTTTTTTCTATTGATGCTTCAAGATGTCCATCTCTTAACTGATTTTAGCATTCGAGTAAAAAATATCTCTGTGTAAGTTTGTAGAGTAATAATTCATGGTGGTTTTAATCTAATAATTTCAAAATTATAAAAGTTATGTTAGTTTTACTTGTTTGTATAATTCTACAATATTCTATACCTTTTGTCAGTTGACAGTGAAAAAATTCCGATATTTTTTGCATTCATACTTCTAAGTTTGTGGTTTTTATTATACATAGAGGCTCTCCTCCAACCACTAACTGTAAAGTTTTGGGGTCAAAATGTCCTGTGCTATTTAGAGAATAACTTTTCCTAGCATCTACAGTAGGTCTAGGAATTTTAATAGGCTGCTTTTTAAGAAGAAATAGGTAGGAGATGAAATTTGTATATTACCTTTCTTAAAGGCCGTAAATGACTCTCCTGCTTTTTATCATGTCTCCAGTATTTGGAGGAAATTGTTGTTGTTGTTGTTTGCCATTGAGTCACTTGTGACTCATAACAACTCTATGTACAAGATCCCTAAATGCCGTTCTATCCTGTGTCAACCTCGCCATCTCAAACACACTCATTCCCACCACTCCACTCACAGAATCGATCCGTCTCATCGAGGGTCTTCCTCTCCTGCGCTGTCCCTCCACTCTCCCAAATATGATGTCCCTCTCCAAGGACCAGTCCCTCCTTGCAATATGCCCAAAGTATGTCAGATGAAGCTTCAGAATCCTTCACTCCAAGGAGTATTCCGGCTTCACCCTCTCCAGGACAAACCTGTTTGTTCTCATAGCAGTCCATGGTATATTCAACACAATTTTCCAGCACTACAGCTCAAAGGCATCACTTCTCTATCATCCCTATTCACTGTCCAACACTCCGATGCATAGCACGTAATTTCAAAGACTATAGCCTGGATCAGGCGCACCTTAGTCTCCAGTCTGGCATCGTTGCTCTTCGGTACTCTTGAGAGGTCCCTCACAGCTGGAGGAAATTAACATATTAATAATTTTCCAGATTTTTTCCTTTCAGTACATCATATTTCAATACTTTGAAAATTCTGTCATTATGAATAAACATTTTTATATATAAAGGGAAAACAACTGCAAAGGATTTTGCTAAACGCTCTCAAAAGTATTTTCAAGTTGGTTTCATTTGATCTCTAATAAGATCTCAGTTTTCCCAGCTTATTGTTTGTCTTTGCCTTTCTCAGGTTCGGAAATTTGTGGCCAAGGACAGTGCAGGACTTCGTATTCGTAGCCACCCTTCCCTCCAAAGTGAACAGATAGGCATTGTTAAAGTCAATGGAACAATCACTTTTATTGATGAGGTAATTTAACAAATTATAGGTAATAAATTTTGGAAAGAAATTGCATTGCTTGCATAATAATATGATTACTAAATTTTCATCCTGCGTGTGTTTTAAGCATGTTGGGAAATTTGGGGAAAAAATAGTTTGTAAAATATCCTGAGGGCCCTTTATAGAGCACTCTGTTTGCTAATCAAAAGCTCAGCAGTTCGATCCCCAAGCTGCTCCACAGGAGAAAGGGGAAGCAGTGTGCTTCTGTAAAGATACACAGTCTTAGAAGCCCTAGGAGACAGTTCTGTTCTGTCCTGTTGGGGTGTTGAGTTGGTGTTGACTTCATTGCAATTTGTGGATAATAGCTTTGGATTTTTGTAAAATAGATTGATGGAATCTCAGACATTTTGGTTATTGTCTTTATCAGTAAAGTATTATTTTGAACATGAAGTGAACACAGCTTAACAGTGGATCCTTTACACAGACTCATTAGAAATGGGTGCCATTTTTTATACATTTTTAAAGAGTATTTTTCATTGTGTCCTATTGCTTTAACTTGAGACAGTACATCTTTCTAGTAATACAACTAAGTACTGTCTGATTATAAAATATTAATAAAGAGATACTAAGATGGGTTTATTATTTTTAGGAAGGACTTGATTTTATTCTTTCAGCTACTTATCATAATACATGTTTCCTTTACTTTCACTCATAGCCGATTTGGGGTGTTTTTTTTTTTACCTTTTACAATCTTTCCATCTGAGTTAACATACTGCTTTGGCATTCATTGCTGCTTTCTTACTTAAAGATGCTCTCAGATTATCTTCTGCATAAACCAAGTACATAGTCTCCACACCCACCATTATCTGCCTGCCTTTGCAGCCACAGCCCTTGTAGCTAGCCTTACAGGAGTTACAGGAGGGCATGGCTTGTTTTTGTTGCTTATTTCCCATAGATCCACAATGATGATGGTGTATGGCTGAGACTGAATGATGAAACAATAAAGAAGTATGTTCCTAACATGAATGGTTACACTGAAGCCTGGTGCCTCTCTTTTAATCAACATCTTGGCAAGAGCCTTCTGGTCCCTGTTGACGTAAGTAAAAGGTGGTTTCATAAAGCATATAGGTACACTCTGTCCTTAATACAGGACTTTCTTTAATTAAGGCTCTTCAGTTCTGAGGTAAACCACAACTAAATCATTTTTACTCTGTAGATGCTAAAACACTTAATGACTCTGTGTGATGAGAGTGAAGGGTAGAGAGGTTAAGCACCTAAATGCCTGTTATTATTCATCGCAGATAGAAAGTAATAAACTAAACCTAGGGCTACGGCATTCTGTTTTTCACAGAATTAGGAAATATTGTTAGCTGCATTTTTCTCCTGTTTTATTCACACCACTGTTAGCACAAATTAAAACAAAATTTAAAATTATTATACATTAAAAAGCATATATAATATATTTGTTTTTATGCCTGTGTTTTCTAACTAGTTCTCTGTTATGTTTTAGTTTTATTTTTTGGTTCATAGTACTAACATATTAAAATAATATTGATAATTAGATTTAAAATGTTTGACATTTTAGTTGAAATTAAATCCTAGCCTCTGAGAAAATTCATTGAGCCTTTTTAATAAATACGTTGGAATTGTTAGAGCTCATAATCACAAAATACCACTAAATATGATAGTATAGTGACTCACACCCCTTTTCATAATTTAATCTCCTTTTTTATCACCATCTAATGTGTGAACAACTTATGACACTATTTACCAGTCCTGATGGTCTAGGGGGTAAAGAACTTCATTGCCAACCTAAAGGCAGGTGCTTCAAATCCAAGGCAGTAAGAAAGGTGGGCCATATCTTCCCATGTGAGTTATAGCCTCTGAAAATGCACTGAAAGGTCAGTGATGAATCAGTTCAAACACAACAGCACAAACAACAACATAGTAAATAAATAGCACTGGTAAATTTTTATTTTTATGAGAAATGCCATATCTCTATATTTTAGTGAGATAAATTTATTTAAAGTCAATATATAGAATTAGCCTGTCATATCAAACCATTCAATATATTGTGTTGGTTTTCTCATTGTTGGTCCTGAATAATGTTCAGCAAAGGGTACATAGAAAGTGCTTTGTGAAGAAGAAGATTGAAACTTCTGTTTATATCTTCATCTCATGTCTATAACCTTATTAAAGCATTATGTTAGATTATTTATTTCATACTTCCCCATCACTAACAATTTCTACCTAATTTCCTTGTTTGCTCATTTAAAGAGAGTTTTGCAAGAAGCAGAGGATTCATGCAATTAAAATGAGGGAAAACAAGGGTAGAGAGGAATAGGAAAAAGTGCTGAGTGCTAAAGTTATCAATATGATAGCTTCATTTTGAAGCATTGGTGTTCTGTTGTCTGACACTTTAAACACCATCCAAAGAATAATTTTTAGTAGCAGTTCTGTGAAAGAGAAGAAGGGCAGTATATCAAAGTTAAGGGAAAAGAAAGTGACCTGTGTAAAAACTTGTTGATTCCTTTCTCTAGACATGATTGAGCAAGTTGTCACTGACAAATCTGAAAAGTCTAGGTGCAGAATATTGGAGGTAAAAAGTGAAGGGATTTTCTTTTATTTTCTACTTTTTTATATAAGGAATAACATCATTTCTGTTTTGCTAGTACAGAATATGTGGTTCCTTTATTTTGAGGATAGTAGTGACTTAAAATGTTGGTAAGTTTAAGAAAAGATGTCATTAAAATACAAACATTAAAGATGCAGATATGAAGACACATTTGGAGAAGCTGTTTCTGGAAGGAGTTGCACTGCTAACTGATAGGAGACACCTCTCTGGTGGTTCGAATCCACCAGTGGTTCTGAGGAAGAAAGGTGGGCAGGCTCTTGAAATCCTGCTGAAGGGTCGACTGGGAGTTGGTTCAAACTCAACAGCAATAGAGTGTTCATGTCTTTAAAGAAGAGATGTGTATGGCAATTGATAAATACTTACGGAAGAAAGAAGGAGGTTGAGGATGATGACAGAAATGGAAGAAAGGAAAGCTATTAGTTGAGAATGGACGATTTATAAATTTAGCAAAGATTTGGAATGACCCTTGAGAGAAATAAAGGGTGGAATGTGAATTTCTAAAAAAAAAAAAAAGAATTCTCATTTGGACCAGTAAGGATCTGATGAGATAGTGAGGGGAAACTCATTTTAGAACTCTACTCTCCAATAACCCTCCGTGCCCAGAATCAAAGTCATACAAAAGAGCAATTCTCATCCAAAAGAGTATTGGTCAAAATTGTCTGGGCTATCTCATGGAAAAATAGGACAAAAAAGGTCAAATGTGTGTGAAAGTTTATTTTAGATCATCAGCTGGAAGCCAACTAAAGTTAGAAATGTGATAAAAACAAATAAGGGACAGGGGGCGTAGGAGACTTAATATTTAGTTCTATGCACCTTAATTGCCATGGTGAGTTATTAAAATGGGAGGATCACTCAGCCCAAACTGACTTACACTGTCTTGGGTCTGGTTGGATTTGGGGTTAGCAAGATACAGTGAGTGTTCTGGTGGACTGTCAGTGTTGGTAATAAAAATGGAAATTTTTATTTCTTAATTAAAGTTAATAATAAATGAAATGGCCCATTATGTGGCCATGATAATTGGAGTAGAGGTGAAAGTTGTTGGAATTACCTCAGTCTATAAATGAAAAGGCTAGACACTTTGATGATTGTCAGCTTGGACAAAATTGGATAATCAGATGGCAACAGTGTGAACCACAAGCTTAAAAATGAAAGGGAGTTTATTTACTACGGAGCAAAGGTTCTATCAGATATAAAGTCACAGGAAGGTTGAGAATGTTGAGACAGGGAGTATTTGGTATGAAAACAAATGACAATAGGGGTTACATTTTGATTGGTGACTGAACATAGCAAAGGAAGTGCAATGTTGTGAAATTAATCAGACTAGGACAGTTATAAACTTGTTTCTGAGCAGGTATCACATGAGGACCCACATGATGTCAGAAATCAAGCTGAGGCAGGAAAAGGTATTATCCATGACTTTATCTTTAGGGTAGGAGGCTCTGGAGAAGTGGCCTTTGCTAAACCAACGGCTGTGCCTGTCTGATGTTTTCAGTATACCAACAAGAAGAAAGATGGACAGTTTCCTCCTGAGCAGTTTATAGCCTTGGAAACCAATGAGTCATTTCCAGCTGCCCAGCAACACACTTGACTTTGGGGGTTTTAATGTCTTTAAAGACTGTGACCTCTACCTTACAGACAGTTAGTTGGGTTTGTTTGTTTGTTTGTTTGGGGCGATGTTTCTTTTAAAAAATAAATAAAAATGGACTTTATTTGTAAGAGTACAAAAACCTCATTGATATCAATTTTAAATTCCACATAGTTACTACTCATAAACATAGTATTGGAGGGATTTTGGAATCAGTTGTTGTTAGTAGCCCTGTGAACAACAACCTGGTATTGCCCTATCCTGCACTATCTCACCATCTCTGATAGTCAGTGTTTGAGGGGTATATTCTTCTCCTTAAGGCTAGACACTGCATGAAAGGAAGAATTCTTATAGCCCTCTCTTCAAGAAGCTAACACAGATAAATGTATTTTGCCACCCCTTCTCTGTATCTCTTACTACATTTTCCACTGGGAAAAACCTTTCTGTCTATCCTCTCTTCCTTCTTACTTTTAGTCTATTTGTGAGTAACTTGACTGTAATTTTAAGTTAGCTTATACTGGTAAAACATACTCCATTTTAAAAAAGGAAAGCTGGAAAACTTGAAATAAGTTTAGAAATAATAAAACCAGTGCCATTAGCTTTTAAAGTCTCAAAAGTACTTAGTACCTTCAGCAATCTTTATATCCACTCCTTAAGTCTTTACTAGTTTGTGGTGTTTTAATCAGTGTGTGGACCTTATTTTGGATTCTGATACACTGAGATCAAAGGGAATGGAAAATTTCACTATTTTATAACATTTTGATTTTTTAAAAATTTCTATAGATAACAATATTTAAAGTTTTAACAAGTTTCTGTTGCATTATTTTATTTACTCATATTGTAGAACTCTTGTTCTCATTGCAAATATGCACTTTTACGAAATAGTGGTATGCCAGCCATAGGTTCCATTTAAACATCATTTCTTAAGAAATTTTCGAACTAACTTAAATTATGACATTGTAAGTCTGTTTTAGCATTTTAGTAATTCTGAATTGTTTGATGTTAATAATGAATGCTGTAGTTCAGAGATGAAATAACAGTATAAATACACTGTATGTTCATCCATTTTCTAAAAGTATCTTCTAAAATCCCTAGAAAAGATAGGAGTATATAGAATAAGAATGTAGATTCCTCTGTGTGTGTGTGTGTGTGTGTGTGTGTGTGTATACACGCAAGTGTGTGGACTTGCACCATGCCCTTTTTATAATCATGTTATTTTCCTAATGAGCCAAGTTCAGATATTTTTCTTGAACTTTATCTCAATTTCTTAGTATTTCTAAACTCAGTAATTCATTAGTGGATCATAAAATAAACATTTCTTGATAAACAGGCAGGAAGACAGATAAATCAAGCTACTCTTGGTAGCCTTATGCTATGTCCCACTCTACTACTGTGCTTTAGCAAGTGGCTGTCTCTCCTCATTGCAAAAATGAGAATACTCAATATGGCTTAGTCTAGTTGGGAAGGCAACAAATACAGTTATAAATACATACAAAGTAGATAACTAAAAAAATCATTCTGGCTAGAGTTATCTAATTTAGTAAATATAAATGCTCAAAACCTTAATGGTTAAATGAAGATGAATACCATTATATATATATATATGAATGAGAGAGAGAGACCTAAAAAAAAAGAAAGTGACATGGGTCAGTCCCATTTTGAGAACTGGTTATGGAATTTCAGTACATTGAACTACTTAGAATCAAGAGCTTAATTTTTTTTTAATAGTGAGTTCATTTCTGTGATAGGAAATTTTAGTGATTTGAAACTTATTCTTTGGTGACTTTGTAGAAATTGAAGTCTTTCAACATTGTATGCATATGTGAGAGGAGTTGAGTGGAAAAGAAAATTTGTTTCAAGGAAAGTAGGTAAATAC